GAGTGCGGGGATTTCAGAATTGCAGGTAGAGAATATATACAGTTTTATGCCTGGTGGAAGAGTGCCATGGCACCCTAGTAGGGGAAGGAGGTCTGGTTTTTAGGGGGTCTCTCCCATGGAATAAAGTGGGAGACGTTTAAACTTTGCTCGCTTGTTTGTAGAAAGTATATACTGTGAGCCCTTCTCATGGGGGAGGGGACTCCCATCCAATTGGTGATGGATTTTGTACCTTTTGTTTGTTTCCTTGGGGTCACAGCTCGCCTCAGCCGGGTTGTTGTGTGTTCCTCAACGTTCTTTCTTGGCTGAGCTACAAACCATCAGCTTACTTGCTAAACTTCTGTTCTTTAACTCTCCTGCTAGACAGGAACCTCTGTGGAAAGCTGGCTGCAGTCAGCCATCTTGCCTCCTCCCTCCCTTGCCTTCTTTCTGGCTTTTGGGTCTAGATGGGGGTCTCCTTGACTTTATTCTGCATGGATTTCATTGAATTTTTGTGATATGTAAATCGATGTATTTCATCAAATTGGGGATGTTTTGGCCATTGTTCGTCATATTTTTTTCTGCATCCTTCCTTTTCTTTTACTATGGGACTACCACACTGCATGCATTGACACACCTGATGGTGTCCCACAGGCCTGTCAGGCTCTGTTTATTTTTTTTTATTCATGCTTTTTTCTCCTTAGACTGGGTAATTGTAATTATCTTATCTTTTTGAATTTGCTGATTCTTCTGCCTGTTCAAACTGCTGTTGAATTTTCTCTAGTGAGATTTTTCATTTTAGCTATTGTACTTTTCAGCTCTAGGATTTACATTTGATTCCCTCTTGTAATTTCTATGTCTTTCTTGGTCTTCCCTTTTTGTTCATGCATCCTTGTCCTAATTTACTTTAGTTCTTTAGTCTACAGTTTCTTCAAGTCTTTGAGCACATTTAAGACAGTTAATTTAAAGTCTTTGTCTAATCAGCCTAAAGTTTGGGCTACTTTGTTAATGTTTCTGTCAATATTTTTTTCCTGTGAATAGGCCACATTTTCCTGTTTCTTTGTATATTTTTCAATTTTCTGTTAAGACTGGATGTTTTGAATATTGTACTTTAGTAATTCTGGAAATGAAATTCTCCTTCCTCCTCAGGGATCGCCATTATGACTTGTTGGATGCTATAGTCATCTACTTCTTTATTCAGTGATTTTTCTAAAGTATTCTTGCAAATACTATATTCCTTGTTGTATGTGATCGCTGAAGTTTCTTTTATCTGCAAGGGCAGCCAATGATTTTTTTAAATGCTTAGATCCAGTAAGGAAAATCATTTCCATTTCTTTAAACTCCTGTGAAAGACACTAGGAAGCTCTTTACCCCCAAGGTGTTGAAGTAATAGCCAGCATCTGTTCTAGTCTCTCAGAGAACCACCAGAGAAAATATACATCCCTAAATTGTAAAAGGCGAGGTTCCCACTCTGACACCAGTAGGCCCTTAAGGGACCTTAGTCGTGGTCTCCGTGACTGCCTGGCATGGAGCTGGGCTAACAGTTCTGACCACCTCAGTAGGTGATTTGGTGGAGGGACTGATGCCAGGAGTGTCCTACTCCATTATCTGTTGTGTTGTCAGTTCTGTATTGATTATTATTGAGATAGTATCTCAATATCACAATGTTGTATTGCCATATATTGTAAAAAGATCTAGTTTAAGAGAAGAGTGAATGCATAATGCTCACACACGAGCAGTACACCATGTGTATAGAGCTACTTCTTACAGGTTATTTACCATCATTACCTGTCTCCCTTACAAATAGGCATAGGTGATTGTGATGACTGAAGTTTTCATGTACACGTGATGGTGTCACTACATGTCACTACAACTTGTGACTGTGTAAAAAAGATGGCAACATGATGAAGTAATGCCCTAATCTTTTTTGAACTACTTATTTGTAAGTGAACCATTGATTAGCTGTAGGGCAGAGATATCTAATACAATTTGAGACTTAGTTCAATATGATGACTTAAGTAGTCTCTTTGGGTAGTATCCAACTCTCTCTGAGATAAAAATGCTCAGTTTCTCAGTCTGCTTTTTACACCAGGATGGCTTGTGGGTGTGGGGTGGTGTGTGGTGTGTGGTGTATCTCCTAGCAGTGGGAAACTGACCGTTTTCCTCTGATGTTCACTCTTTCTTCCAATCTCCTGTGTGGTATCTTTTAACCTCTTAGTTGTGTTTGCCTTGCTGGCAACTGCTCATGACACTGTGGCTGGAGTTACTTGTGGTCTGGCCTTTCTGGTTGGTCAGAACATAGTGGTGCTCCCTGGAGGGTTTAGTCTCTTTGGCTTCTGCTTTCTGAGATCTCCTGGGTGCCTGGTTTCTTGCAGTTATGGGCCTGGAACTTCATGCACAACCTTTGCTGAAGGGTCACCATCTGCTGCCCCACTAGCTTAGACAGTCTGAGTCTCAGAGCTTACCAGTTTTTGACCGTGTTTGGAAAAACTGTACCTCAAGATAATGGCATGGTTTGCAAGACTGTGACCTTACATCTTTTGTGTGCATGTTACTTCATTTCATCTCTTTGTACTTTATTCACTAGTAAAACCTGTTAGTTCCCAAATGGACAAGTGCTTCCAGCAGTCTAAGGCAAATGTTAGATGCTTGGAAAGGCAAAACAATAGCAATGAAAGCAGTAGTTTTCAAGCTCTAACATGAGGTAAATAGATATATGAGGATATATTTAAAGAATGTATTTCTAAATAAATGTATGTAATTCTAAAGAGATGTTAAATTTCAGAAATACTGGCTCTTTCAGGAGGTATATATTGTATGTGTATGTATCACATATATGATTAACGTATTGTAGTTAAGATAACATACGCACTTAATGTTAGAAGGTTTGCTTTCTTTGTATCTACAGCAGTATTTCCCTGTGACAACACACAATGTGACTTCATGCACACATTTTCTTCTCTTGTAGGACAGTTCGTGTTTGGTTAAAGAGAGACAGTGGACAGTACTGGCCAAGCATATACCACGCCATGCCGTGTGAGTATCTGCATCTCTGCTTTGAAAACCCAGACCTGCACCCTGCCCTCGCCCCCTTCCTTGCCGGTTGTCTTCTCTTTTTTTCTTGAGTAAAGAAGACTAAGGTTGGGATTTTTATTACAAGGCAAAGTATTAACCATTTTAGATTTTTCTAAGGCTTTCACAATGTAAAGTAAGAAAATTGTTCAGAAATTGACTGTGTATTCATAGTTCTGAATAAGCCCGTGGAAGGAGGACTGTAGCACGTGGGCTGTCTGATTACAGCAGTCTCCCTGTCCTTTCCAGTTTTCTGTGTAGCTATTTTGTGGAGTGTGCCCTTAGACATTGGGTTTTCTCCAGTGATTACATTTGTGAAGTAAATTTCTCTTTGCATTATTGTTACATTATTAATTCAGATTTTAAGACATTCAGCATTCAGTTCTCCAAAGTATTTGCTTAGGATTAAAACATTTGAATTAGAAGTCATTGTCTTTTCTCAAGATCTTACCTCAGAAATAGGTCTTTGTACTGATAAATAATAAATCTTTCAAATATACTTTAAAAAAATAGATGAGTGATTCTAAGACTGTTCCACTAAGAAGTTTTCCCTCACAAGGAGAAGAGTTAGCCCCTAAAATAGGAAATTTCTTTTTAGTGTTTCATTTTTAAAATTAATGACATTTGGGAAATCTTAGTTCTCATTTATTTTATTGTAACATCATTATTTAAATTAATTACCAGTTGTATTAAACATTTCCCTTAGTCCCTTCTCATCACATCCTAATTAAAATCTACATAGGCTTGTTGTTTGGACTCATTCACTGCCAGCTTGCTGCAGTGTGCACCTCACCCCAGGATCTAAGCCTCCCAGTTTCAGAAGTACATGCCACTATGTGCAGCCAAAATAAATTCTTGTTAAATGGTAGATGCATTCAAGTCCATGCCTCTGGCACACTGTAATAATTCAAACAACAATTTCACCTTTTTCTGAACAAATGAATTATTAAGGATATAATGGTTTTCAGTGATTTTCCAATTATCTCTGAGGCTTTGCATGTCTTTAGAATTTAATAGTAAATAGATGGTTCACAAAGCTGAATTGAGTATTCAGGCACTTTTTTTGTCAAAAAACTGTAATTCTGAATGCTATATTCTTCCTTTACCAGTTTTGCTTCTGGGAGACGCTGTTACATGTTATGGGCACTAGGTGAACATTCTTTTTCCAGGCACAGCAGTGTTGAAGGTTTAGGTAAATGGGGAAAAAAGGGAATTCTCTGATTTTTTTTTTCCTGATTTTTAACTGATGTAACAAGTCCTTTGGTCTTCATTCTTCAACAAATACGATGCAGTATCTAACTGGAAGAGGTGGGGAAGGGCTATATAATCCAGCAGGTTGAAGTCAGCCTCAGAGCCTGTAAGAAATCTGGTGTGTGTATATATGTGAAGTGAAATGAGGGGAATTTGGGGACAGCAAGCAAGAAATCTTCCTGAGATAAGCATTGATAGGAACTTCATGAAGACACAGGTCCTATGTGATTGCTACCCACCCCCTTCCCCATACACACAGAACACACATTTTGTGCCATTCTCCAATGCTGTCTTTATTTCAGCATCCCTGAGAATACCGAAAAGCCTCTAGTTGCTTCTCTAAAGGTTGACTAAAGGTTGCTTGGAGCTCCTACACCTGGCATTAGTGCTCACTTAATTTTATGGAAGGCTTCAGCAAGTAGTAAGGATGAGTTTCCTTGAGGGCATTATCATTCATTTTCCTTAGGATTGAACATGAACTTTGAGAAGGAAGACCTTCTAATTCTTGTATACTTTGCCTTTGGGACTTTACCAAAGAGGGTACAAAAGGGATCACTTTATCATGCTAAGTGTAGTCTGTGGACCAGCAGCTTCAGCATCTCCTGAGAATTTATTAGAAATGCCCAGAGCTGCCGAATCAGAGTCTGCATTTAATAAAATCTCTAGGTGACTTGAATGTACAGAGTTTGGGAGAGTATCTTGTGGCATTACAGCCAACGTGTGGATGATCTGTGTACATAACGTTTATATGAACATATGTAAAGCCTTATGTATGTATGTATAGTGCTGATTTGTAAGTAGAGTGGACCCTCCACAGCTGACCACCTCCCTACACTGACTACCTCCTTAAGTTGACTTAATTTTCATAGACCAGACATGCACCACATGTACGTATCAGTACAGTAGGCCTAGTTCCTTATGGTGACCATGTCTGTATGCTGACCAGTTTGTCGCAGTCTCTTGGGTAGTCATCTTAGAGCAGTTCTAGTGCATCCAGATGTAAATGAACGTGCTAGTCAATTTACCATGCCTCCACTATGTACAGGTCACTGATCTAGGTGCCAGAGATTTGCAGATGAACAAAGTGTTGTACTATAGATGATTTTGATACTTTTTATTGAAGGATGGTTCCATTACCATGTAGAGGTAAAAGAAAAAAGACTACATTCATCATAATTGGCTTTTATGTTCCTAGGAATCTTGTGCATTCACATGATATAGTAACTGACCTCTAAGCGAGAACATAAGCTTTATTTCACCTGAAAGAGGCAGAATCATTGCATAAGGAAATAAGCTATATTTTAATCAGTTAGAGAACCTGAAATAGATTTGCGTTTCCCAGAGATTGTTTTGCAATCCTTTCTACTGAAAGTTCTTTTGTTAAGAGGTTACTCAGCATAATCCTAAATAATGGTTATGTGGTATTAGTTACAAAATAAGTGAAAAAGTACAATATATCTGGAGGCTATAACATGGCTAGTACAAGACAAGGGATGACCTTATTTAGTAAGTAGTATCCAAAATACAGAACAAAACAAAAAGATTCTCTGCACATTTAACATACAGCTTATTTGCTCCTATTGTCCATTAAAATATCTTTTAAATGTAGTGGCTGAATATGGCAGGCTGTGCCTGTCTTTGTGGGGGGGATAGTCTGTTGGGGAAGCAGACATTGAATTGGTACCAGCCACGTTGTGTGGTGAGTGCCATGACTTGGGAAGGAGGCGTCAAGGGTATGTGCGCTCCGTGAGGAAAGTTCATTTTAAACCTGCCTCCATAGAAAATTTGAGGGTGACTGCTGACTTATTTTATAGTTTCCTATAAGCTAGCTGATTTTTATGAATGAATGAGAAATCAGAGCCTTTCCATAGTATATATTCTTTCAAAAAAGAATATCTCACACAACAGCTGCTAATTGTCTGTGATAATAATGACTTACAGCTTACCTTCCGGGGACCCTTCCCCTAGTGGGATTTTCCTCAGGGGTACAGGGTTGAAGTTTCAGTTGCAACCATGAAAGTGATGATTTGTTCTGGGGTTCTAATAGATCCCGTTTTAACTACCACATTTGCATCTCACTACAGAGAAAAAGCATGTGAAAAACACAGATATTCCTATTTTCATGCTCAATTATTTCAGAGTTGCTAACTAGGTGTGCTGTTCTAGTGAATCATGAAAGAGAGATGGGGAGAAATTTCTTGCAGGAGGTAGGGTGGCTGGTGTTGGAGACTTTTCGTACTCTTTGAAAGGATTGGGTTTCACGGCTGAGACTTGATTGCCCACTTCTCGCTTGGGCTTGGAGAATCAGGAAATCATCTTGGCTGCCAACATGTGAATGGGAGGCTTGTGGGAACCAGGGCTTGGGGGCCAGATGTGGTGGAGAAGGGGAAAACCTCTGTGGGTCCTGTTGTTGCCAGGGCAGACAAATGGAATTTACTTTGGCTCCTGAATGTATATGAATTTGTCCCCAAAGCTAAACAGAAGACATTTTTTTCAAAAAACAGTTACAAATAAATAGGCATACCTAACATATCAATAAAATGACCTATTTCATCATCTTCTCAGCTTCTCAAGGCATCTAACCAGTCTGAAGTTGGGGTTGGGCCTCAGTTTTCTCACAAGTACGGCCACCTCACCATCAGCCTGGTAATGTTTCAAGTGTAGGAACTCAAGTCCTCACAGAAACACGTAATTGTGAACTCTCTTCTTCCCAGTTTTTGTCAAAGTCTGTTGAGAGAAAGGTCATTCATAGCAGATAGCACGAGTGACTTTTGGTCTGATTCCTTCTCTGAATTCGGAGTTTCCCACTGTGCGTCAGCTCTAGAGAGGCCTCTGTCTGTGTCCCTCTCCTCACACCGAGGTGCACGGTACGTGAAGTGCTTTACGGCTGCTCTGGACGCAGCTGTCTGTCATAATACCCAGTGTCCCTTTCATGAGAAAGTATGGAGGGCAGTAGTTTTCAGACATGAAGGCTAGGAACCCTTTGCTTTCTTGAAGCCAAAGCTTCCCAGCCTCTGCGTCACAGCTTATTGATGTGGTCCAAATGGCTTACGGGTCCCTGAGAACTTGACGCCTTAGCTGAGCAGAGGCATGGAGGTGGGTGGAAGAGGGGCAAAGGGGAGGGTTAGTCTCTTCCATTTTTCAGTGACTGTACAAATACAATTTTCTGTGTGTATCATGAAGTGAAAAAGTTGGGAGAAACAGCTCAAAGGACCTCGTGCTTGGTCCTTACAGATAATGTGAAACATGGAACTTACCAAGTTTTTCAATAAATCTTTATTTTAATTTTCTCCCTCTGTGTGTGTGTGTGTATTTTTTTTTCTCCCATAGTTGTGGTTTTTTGTTTATTTCTAAGTTTTGGTTCTACTGTATCTACTTGTTAAGTCATTTCAAATGGTTGTTAAACCATTTCAAGCTCTTTGTGAAATGAGACCGGAAATACATTAAAGGAATTCTCTTAGTTAAGATGAACAGTTGAAGTTTGTCTCCTGTTTACATGAAATTCACCCCCCAGAAATGCGTTGTTTCAAATTGGAAGGTTCCAGAAAGTTTGTAGGTGGGAGCCTGTACGTGAGGAATCTGAGTTTCCTGTGTGCTGTCCCTCTGCTGAGTCACTTTGGGCACAAACAGGTCTTTTCATTCTTCCCTCCTCTGAAGTCTAATAGATAAATCTGTTTTCTTTGTCCCCAAATTTGCAGAACTATTTTGGTTGT